AAACGTCAGCTTTCCTGCTCCTCTGATGCTGCTTGGCCTGCTGTGTTCATCCAGCTCTACGTCTTGTTGTCTCAGATTCTCCAGCATCTGCAGTTCCTACTATCTCTGATACATTTTGTTGTAGTCCACACTGCTCATACTCTGCAAGTTTCTGCACATTGTATCTGAAGCCACTCTGTCCCAGCCCATAAAAATTTGTGTTTCATATAATTGATCTCTCATTCCTTGTAAAGGTAGAGAATACAACCAATCATTACGTGCTGTCTAGAGAAAATAAGGAGAAATAAATTTCAAGTGGTGGAAGGTTCAGTAATCAGAGAACACTACTTTAAGAATATTGGCAAATGACTGGAGCTGACTTAAGAGCAATATCTCTTACACACAGTGACCTGATATGTTTTGGAATACATTGCATGAAGGGTCGGTATCACCAGATTCAGTAATAGCATTCAATGGAAATTGGACAATACTTTTAAGGGAAGCAAATTTAGTGCTGTGAGGAAGTCGTAGAGAATTGGGATTAATTGGATAGCTGTTTTAAACAGCTAGCACGATCAGCCTTATGACCTTCTGTGATGTAATGTTTTATGTTGCTAGGGTCATTGAGTATTTTAATTCTGTAAAATGTTGATGGAAGAGCTTCTGAATTCAAAATCAGCAACTAGAGGTAGCTTTCATCCACACTACATTGAACTTCATTTGGGGAATTACTTTCAGTAGTCTCAGTCTTGTTTTAATTGAAATAATCCCACAAAATTTAATTCAACTGACCTGAAGAAGCTGCAGGGATGCGTAATCAGGAAAAAGCAAAATCGTCATGGTGTGTAACGTTTTGTGTTGTTACAATTTGTGAATATTCTTATTATGCAGCTGTGTATCCCATTTCATCCCATTGATATGATTTGATCCATGTCCTTTATCCCATTATAAAGGAAGCAGAAAGAACTTGTTCCTAGAAACCATAATTTTCTACTAAGAAAAATAAATTATTTTGAAATGTTGATTGGAAGATGGCATTTTAATAATCCTGTGCATTTCTGCTTTTTAGGGAAAACCTTGCTCAATGGGAGAAGATAGCACAATCAAGTCAAGCCTCACAAGATAAGGACCAGGCTACTTCCTCAAAGAATGTTCCTGTATAAATTGAGAATTGATGGAATTGGTGCTCTATATTGAATGCTCCACTTTTAAGTGTTTTGATTCTGAATTGGGAAGAGATCTGTTACTGTAGGTAATACAATGGCATTACCTCTTGAGTCCGTGACAAACATGGCTCCCACTCTAGCTAACAATACAAGTCATTTGGAGGAACAGTTTTAAAAAAGCATCAAATCTAGCTGCCTTAGCAATTCTGTTGTGTTTGAAAATGACTTTTTTTTTAAAGACAGCATTTGCTCTTTCTTGTATGCTGTATTGCTGTGGCCTTAATATTTACTCTGAGACAGGCAGGTACCTTCCATGTTATTTTACACTTGGTGTAGCATCTTCAAATGTTCTGTCTGGGTCTGATATCATTATCTTTATCAAAGATAGTTTATGTATTAGTATAAACGTCATGAGAAGATAGAATTTGACTGCATTTTAATAGTTGTGGTCTTGACAGTGACAGATATTGTTGAAGTATTAAATACTTGAACTGATGACAACTGATGGCCGTTGCAAATTGCAAAAAATACTAAAATTTCACTGCCATCCCGAGATAATTGCTACTTTTAAGGGAACAGCAAAATGTCTGAGGAAATTCATAGCCGCATCTCTGTTGGGGATGTTAATAAAGGCAAGTCATGGAATGCAAAACTATTTTGAAAAGCAGGGTGAAGCAATGGATTTCACCAGCCCTATAATAGACTGCTTAAGGCACTTATTTTTCCATCATGAATTGGAGCAGTAGTTGTGATGAACAAAAATAGGGTGACCCTGGATTTAAAAATATCTGAACGTGAGTTTGGCAAATAATTTACAAAAAAATGCAAGTGATCATTTTTTATATATCTGGACAGTTATTTATTGGTTTATCTGTCTCCAAGAATGTGATGATGGCAAGAAAGAACAATTGAAGATCTACTTGTCTGCATTGGTAATACTTAGACTACAAATTTGTTAATATCTTTTCCCCCTCTTTGTTCTTAAATGGATGAAGCAAATGGAAGTTGAAATTTACCCATTCAGTCATTGAATGCCGTACTTGTGTTTTCAGCAAACTGTAATTATTTAGGGTGTCCCAGTACAGGAAGTACTAACTGATTCACATGGAGGCTCTACAGTAAACACTATACCATTTAATTGTGCCACCACAATTATTTTTGTAGCTAAAGTAGTTGTATAATTGAATCCCAGCCAGAAGATCCAATATCTGAGTATGTTTCACCTGATCCTAGACTTAAGAAACATATAAAGCGAGGCATTGTCTTTGGAAAAGGCAAGTGTGAAACCATCTGGCTGTCACACCAGGAAGTTCACTTCTCTTAATAGATCAAAAGTTAGTATCTGTGTGACAGTGCCTACGCAAAAGACTTTCTCCAGAAGTGTCTGACTTTTATGTCTTCTTCATTCACTTACCCGAGTATCATTCATTGCCATGGAGCACTTATAAATAACAAGACAACAGCACCTCACAAACAGCTACTGAAATTGAATATTAATTTTGTGCAGTTAAAAATATAAAAGTACAACTTAAGTTAACTAGTTGGTTAGATTGGAGTAAGGTACAAGTATACGCTCCCTAAGACTTTGTGTTTCTATGATGTCTAACACTCCTGAATAAATAGGGCCTAGAGAGAGTTTTGCACTCTTCCTCATCTTACAATAATTATAAGAGAGAAATTGAAGCTAATTCACACATTACACAGACCATAAGGACAATCTTTGCATAAATAACTTTACAATTATTTGTATCAACACATTGATCATTCCATCATTGATATGACAATATATAATACCTGCAAAATGAAGGAAATCTTTCAAATTACATTGAATTATCTGAACTTCATTTGCATCCCTCATATCCATTGTGGAAAACCATACCATAGAACTGTAAGATATGTGATGGACCTTTGAAAATACTTCTAATATTGCATTATATTGCACTAGTCTATTCAAGATTCTATCAATATTAGCTTTAGTTTCTTCTAGAAGTTGTGGAGGATTTTTTGCACTCTTTGTGTGTGCTTATTATAATGAATGCTTTGTGTGCATGTAATATGTACAAACAAACTGGAACTTTGTAGCATATTACCAATCACGCCTGCTGCCTAAGCAGCTTCAACATCACTTGTAAATACAAGAAATTGCTGACTGTCTACTTAAGTTTTATTATAAAATGTCATGTTTCAATGTAACAAATGTTAATATTTAGGCAACTATACTGCAAGTGATATTGGTTATGTATATTTACAATATAACAAGATGTTACTGTAAATTAATTTTTACACTGAATATAGTACATTTGGTTTAAAAAAAAGTCCAAAATTTTGGATGGGCTTTTCTATTATTAGAGAAGTAATTCCAGTGTAGATACATGTCAAGTAGTTATGGGATATTGTCTGTAAGAGAAAAAAAAATGAAAAAGAATGCAAGTGCAATAATTTTGAGGTGTCTTAATTTTTGTTTATAAATTATAAATATTGTATATGTTCCATAAGTTTTTTCATCTATTCATTTCAGTCTTTGTATGAAAACTACTATTCTCATGTTTGTACATAAGAACATTCAAAACCATTTATTATGTCACTATTTATAAATAAATGCTCAAACTACCCAACTACAATAAGGCAGTACCAGAATTTCCAGTAACCTTACAATTGCTGACTAGCATCAAGGATAATAGTGCCCTAAGTTTCCCATAAAGAAAATGTCATGCAGCTCAAAATCAGTCTAACATGGAAGTGCATTTTCAATTCTTTAAGACCTTTACATCTACGAGCTGACATGGCAGATTATTCCAAATGTGGTTTCTGTCATAAATCGGTCTTTAATTAATTTTAATTTATGTTCTCTGATCATACTCGTTTCACTTCCCTTGATTGTGACCACTTGGCATTATACACAATTCCATGAAATCTACTTAACCTTCAATAATATAGGACTTGCATCTTAAACAAGAGGGTTGTTTTTCAGACTGGAGACTTGTGACCAGCGGTGTGCCACAAGGATCAATCCTGCGTCCACTGCTTTTTGTCATTTATACAAGATTTTGGATGTGAATATAGGAAGTATGGTTAGTAAATTTGCAGATGACACCAGAACTGGTGGTGTAGTGGACAGCGAAGAAGGTTAACTCAGAGTACAACAGGACCTTGATCAGGTAGGAAAATGGGCCAAGGAGTGGCAGATGGAGTTTAATTTAGATTTTTGTGAGCTGCTACATTTTGGATAGGCAAATCAGGGCAAGACTTATCTGCTAAATGATAAGCTCCTGGGGAGTGTTGCCAAACAAAGAGACCTTGGGGAGCAGGTTCATAGTTCCTTGAATGTGGAGCTGCAGATACACAAGGTAGTGAAGAAAACATTTGGTATGCTTACCTTTATTGATCAGTGCATTGAGTATAGGAGTTGAGAGGTCATGTTCTAGCTGTACAGGAAGGACATTGGTTAAGCTACTTTTGGAATTCTGCATTCAATTCTTGTTTCCCTGCTATTGGAAAGATGTTGTTAAACTTGAAAGGATTCAGAAAAGATTTATAAGGATGTTGCCAGGGTTGGAGCGTTTGAACTATAGGGAGAGGTTGAATAGACTGGGGCTGTTTTCCCTGGAGCATCAGACACTGCACGGTGACCTTATTGAGGTTTATAAAATCATGAGCAGTATGGATAGGGTGAATAGCCAAAATCTTTTTCCTGGGCGTAGGCAGTCCAAAACTAGAGGGCATAGGTTTAACGTGAGAGGAGAAAAATTTAAAAGGGATCTAAGTGGTAAATTTTTCACGCAGAGGGTGGTGCATGTATGGAATGAGTTGCCAGAGGCACTGGTGGAGGCTGGAACAATTGCAGCATTTAAAGGCATCTGAATAGGTACTTGACTAGGAATTGTTTAGAGGGATATGGACCAAATGCTGGCAAATGGGACTAGTTTAGGTTATCTGGTCACGTGGATGAGTTAGACCAAAGGGTCTGTTTTCCATGCTGTGCTGTATATCTCTATGACTCTAAGAAATAGCTAGTTTTCTTGACTCAAAAATAGAAATTGCTGGCAAAACTCAGCAAGTATGACAGCTTCCATGGGAAGAAAAAGTTGACATTTCAAGTCCAGTAACTCTTCATCAGAACTAGCCTTAAAACATAAACTCTGCTTTCTTCCCATAGATGCTACCAGACCTACTGAGTTTCTCCAGAAGTTTCACTTTTTCTTTAAGATCTCCAGCATCTGCAGCTCTTTATTTTATTTTAGTATACTTGACTTACATTTCTTAAAATTAAGGATACTTCCCCTTGCACTTTTATGCAATAATTTCCAGTGAAATGTGGAACTAAATTTTAACACCTTTACTGTGCCTGGAAGAACGGCATAGGTCTTGGGCCTTGGAAAATGAACACAGGACATGCACAGCCAATAATTACAACTTTGCTTCTAAATTTTAAGAATACTATGAAGGATGAAGGCTGACTACCCATTACAGTGTGGCAAGACGTCAAATTGATACACTTATGAAAACAGTTAACTGAAAGGCAAAAGCAGTGCACTGGAATCTTATACTGCATTTTCTGTTTTCTGAATGGTGCATAGGATTCACTGGCCTTCAGAGTCCTGATTGGTTAATTTGGTAGGATCGAGGTGAACGTTCAATGTGCCTGTGTCAGCCAGTCGTCTTGAAAGGCTACATTGGTTCAAAGGGTATGGGATCTTGCTTGCTGGTGCCTGTAAAGGTGCCATCACCAATGTGTGAGGGGCATTCTGCAAGAGACGTGGGCAATGGCACTAATTGCTCCTGAGTGAGTCGCAAAGAAAAGGTTTTTTTTGGGGGGAGGCAGCAATGATAGTGCCTCAGAGATGTGGATGCATTGCAAAATGATCTGCCCATCTTTATGGCTTTTGAAAGGAGGAGGAGTGGTGCAGAGAAAGGAAGGACCAAGCACTGGTAGTTCCACTACACCAACAGCAGGAACAGCAAAAGGGTCGCCAGAGAAGAGTACAGAGGTGAAATGATAATGGGCTTCTGTGTGAAGAAGAGAAACCCTGTGAAACAATCTACTATAAATGCCTCAATTATCTATAGGTGTCAGTAATAGTATCAATATAAACTAGGGCTCTCCAGAGGGATGGTCTGATTTATGGGCCATTCTGTAGGATGAGCTGAGGTCCATGATGTTATCAGGCACCCAATGTCAGTGGCCCTGAATATCATCATGGCTATCATTTTCCATGCCTGTGGCTCTTTTCAGAGATCCACATTTGTGAAATCTTCAAGGTTGTGGCCTATTGGGGATCAAGGAGTTGATGAATGCATGTTGAAGAGTGCTGGCAACCATGTCAGATAGGCAGAGAGACCCAATGGCTTCAGGGCCATTGCTGTATCTACCCCAGATGTGAGGAATCATTGCAGCTAATCTGGCTATAACAGTCCAGCCCTTGGCCTTCATGAGGAGGAAGGGGTTTCATTCATTAACATCAAACAGATCTGTGATCTCCGAAATCAATAACTTATGGTGTGTGCCTATTTTCTGGGGAAAAAAACCATGAGGTATGCTTACTTTGAGAATCCCAGATGCCCTGTGCAAGTTCATGAATGGATTCTAAGTGTCATTGGCTGCCCTTTAGAACCATGACTACTAAGGATGAGAAACCCTCATTGCAGCAGAGGAAAGATATAATGCCTGTCATGGGTCTACACACACAACAGACAAACAGTCCTTTTGGTAGCTGAAGGTGAGGTTCAGATGGCAGTAAAGCCCTTTAGTATTCCTAGTGAGATTCTGCAGATCATGGTGGTCTTCTGTGCTCTGCACAATCTAGTGCAGTAGAAGAGGAAGACCTTGAATAATGAGGACATCATTGATTGCCGCTTCTTATCCAACAAGAAGGATGTGGAGGAAGGAACTGAGTAAGCAGCACAGGAAGAGGAACCCTTTACACTGGAGATCAAGGACATTGAGAGATGCATGAGGTAGATTCTGGACAAATACATAACAATTTCTTGTGACCCTGCAATAAAGACTACCTTAAGGCAAACGCTGCCAACCTTTTCATCTCGCACTCCACTGCCAAGGAACCCAACTCCCCACAAGCACTGACAAAGCTAAGAAACCTGAATAAACACGGTCTTCTGTAATTTTGGTCTCCTTTTTTAAGGAAGGATCTTACTGAATTAGAGGCAGTATAGAGAAGGTTCAAGTAACTGATTCCTGGAATTAAGGGATTGCTTTATGAGGAACGGTTGTGCTTGTATCAATTGGAGTTTAGAAGAATGAGGGAGAGGTGATCTTATTGAAACATAAGATCCTGAGGAGACTTGACAGGCTGAGTGCTGAAAGGATGTTTTCCCTTGTGCAACAGACTGGAACAAGGGAACACCTTTTAAGACTGAGATGAGAAAATGTTTTGTTCTCTTGAGGATTGAGAGTCTGGGAATTCTTTTTCTCAGAGAACAGAGGAGACAGGGTCATTTAATATCTTAAGGCCGAGTTTGGTAGATTCTTGACAGACGGGGGGGGCGGGGGCAGGTGGGGTGGTGGGGAGCGCAGGCAGGAAAGTAGAGGCCATGATCTTACCAAATTGCAGAGCAGATTCAAGGGGCTGCTGCTCCTAACTCATATGTTTATATTCAAGGGTTTTTGAGTATGCCACGGGGGTCTTCAGTGTTATGTTTTTACTTCTCCATTTGCTTATTCAGTAGATAAACATCAACGCACAACCATTCACAAGGAATTGTTTAACAATAAAATACATAGTTTCATTTATGAAGAAATTGAGAAGTTGGTAAGTGTTACGCAGTTACAGAATACGTACGTATGTCTGAGTTGGTAACCACCTCAGAAGAAAGTGAGACTAACTCTGAAACATATGAAAAAATGCATCCTTTTGTCTCTAGTGATGTATACAAAAAACACAACTACATTCATTTAAAAGTGTACCACAATATCTCCCTGTTTTCAACTGAGTAACTCTCCCTTACAAATAAGCATTTCCATGTATCATAACAAGTAATGGCTATTTAGACATGACAAAATTACAAGCTAATAATCCCTTAGATTTATAAATCCCTGAAATATAGTGGTGGTCTGCTTATCTGCCAAAATTTAGCAGTGTTATGTTAGCTTGAGATTGTTGAATCTTCTAATAGTTGTTTGTGGGGATGTCACACTTGTATATTGCTTTGGATTTTGTCCTAGATGTAAGGGAGTTACATGACCTATGCGAATTTATTAATTCTTTGATTCAATCTCTTTCATCATTGAATGTGACAACCTAGTTTAACTTTGGTGCAAGATAAATCCTTGTTATTTCCACATAATTGCTGTGAGATGTTAAATTCAAACCTGTTGCCTTTGAACTTTATTTTCGTATACGTGTGGAATGTCGGTGTCACTGGCAAAGCATTTGTTGCCCTTGAACTAATTGGCTTTTTAGGTTATTTCAGAGGGCAGGGAAGAGTCA